GAGAGAGAGAGAGAGGCAGGAGTTGGTTTAGAGAGCCAAATTGGGTTTCTAGTGGGATAAAAGGGCTTATTTCTGAGAATTGGTTTTCCATAAGCTTGTTTGTATAGAGAGATTTCTGCTTGTTTGTTAGAGTACATTTCTTGGACACGGTCTTTGATTTTGTCTCCGGGCAAACACGTAGTTTCCGGCTCAGAACTGCACAAGGACGCAGGAAATCTCAACTCGAGGGCTCACCTGCATAAAGGACAACTCGCGGGCTCAAACTTCCTCTAGAGCCCACCTCTTTAATGCCCAAATATCTTCAGAGCGATCACCTCGATATCAAGAAAAAATTACATTTCAAGTTTAAGAAATAACCCATCTCGTAAAAAACATAGATTTCAGGTTTTTGGAACGCTTTTTTGAACCGTATTTTCAAAATTTTTATCAACTTCCCTAGATTTTCCTGCTTTTACACATTTGCCGAAACTCACAATTTTATAAATAGATAAAAAATTATATTTTGCAGTATTGAAACCCCATTTCAGTATGTAAGTTTCACTTGATCGTTCAAAACCTTGCTCCATACAAACAGCACCTTCTCGGCTCCATACAAACCGCACCCTCCTCCCAAATGAGAAAATGGAGGAAATTTCTCTAAATGACTCCAGAGGAATTGAGCTTGTGCCCAAATTTTCTCTGTACGAGATAAAATCGAGTAAAAAACTGCCGCTTTTTACAGCGCACAAAATTCTTGGGGAGGGGTTTCGATGGCAACTGATTCAGATCCCAACGCAAATACAATTCCAAATCCCATGGATAATTTCAATTCCAGGTCCGAATCAAAATATTTCCAATCTGACCAGACAATTTAATCCAAATCCAACAGGCCGCACCCAAAAAACCCATCATTGGCCAGGTCCAAAAGACCTTAGGCCCAATCCCAAATAACACCACACCACTTTGGGTAAACGGCTCAAGCCAGACAAGGGCGGACAACAACCACCAGAGGCAGGGAAATAACAAATAGAAAATTTAAAAAATTAAAAATCCAAATAACTATATTTTAACCATGATATAAAAAATTAATAACAGACCAAATTTTAAAAACTACACAAAAAAATTGCAAGTACAAAACCATTCATTGCCTGTATTGCTTTCTTATGTTCACCAAAACGAGGAATCACACAAACATATTCGAAACAAATTTTATCAAACTTCTTATAATTTTTTTCTAATTTTTTAAGGCTCCCCACAACTGCCTTAGGTTACCCCATTCGGGTGACGTCGGACCAAAAAAAAAAAAACAAAATTCATCTTTCACTACAGTAGACCATCTGTACACCATTCAATACATATTGCAACAGTCTCAATACCAACAAATATTTACAGGGCAAATTTACAACCCAAACCCAGCAAAAGCAAACCAAGTCGAAGGAAAGAAGATAAGATCATTACAGCACGTCGAACCACAAAATGAGAGAGAATATGGTCGAGAAAACACTGCACAAATGAGAGACAGAATGGTGGAGGGAGGACGTGAAGTTAAACCCTGCTGCCTACACCGCCACCCGCTTTGGGAGCGGCTGGGTCAGCCGCCGCGCCTGCGCCGTAGTCTGGGTCCCTGTACCCTGGTCCATACTTGCTGCTAATTAGTCCGGCATGGAGCAACAGGACATACAGGAATTGGGTGAATGTGAGTGTTATGATAAAGGCCTCCAGCACCTTCAGCCTCCATCCTCTGTGACCACCGACATCGATCTCCTTGCATGCAAACCTAAAGAACACACACACTGATCAATGAAGGTCTGGGTCGCTAGACAACCTATACTGTACACTTGCACCCGCAATCCTACTTGGGATGAATATTCGAAAACTCGACTTGGGCCTAGCACTCGAGTCTACTACCCGGCTGATGCCCCGGCCAGTCCGACTATCTCGGCCTGAGTAGGGTGGTGTACTCCAGCAGCTGAAAATTATTAAAAAAAAAAAACAAACAAAAAAAAAATCCCCCAAAAAAGCAAAACATATTCAAAGTAAAAATTTAATAAAACAACTAATTGCGGTTAAAAGTACCCCACAAAACAAAAGATCAAAAAAATTTTAAGATTCCCCAGTAGGATCAACTCCAAACAAAAAAAAAAAAAAAAAAAAGGGGAACTAGCTCCAATTTCTCCTCACCGCTTATAACCTCTAAACAAGGGTCTCGTCACAAGAAACCAGGGTCCCTATCCGGATTTGGTCAAAAACCATGCTCCCCTCCAAAACATCATTTTGTAACGAACAAACCAAAAAACCTCATTTTTGTGAGGGTGAAGGGCGGGGGGGACAATACCATCTATATCCCTGCTTTTACTAAATTTTTCCTTAAAGCTTCCTCACTTTTGTATGTCGATTTTTTTTTCCCCTGATTTCGAGAATAAAGACAAAAGTCCAGGAAGTATTCATAAGACCTTCCCATAACTAACAACAAGACAATTTTTTTTTTTTTCCCTCATAAGATTCTCCATCCTCACTAAATTTATTTGAGACCACCTCCAAATTTCACTAGCATGAAATTTCCCCAAAATGAAAAAGGCAGCAAACGAAAAGGAAAACTCACCCAAAAGCCAATGCAGTAATTGCCCACGCCACAACCGCAGAAGAGGCGGTGGCCGCAAGGGTATCACTCCTCCATGCCCTTACATGATTTGCACCCAACAGCTTTGAAGCCACACCAACAACACCAGCTAGAATCGAAAATATCAAGAAATACAGAGTTGCTCCATTTCCAGCCACACCTACAATTAAACCTCACTTTGTCAAACCAGAAGTGACAAAGCACCTCTCCAATAAGAGCACCACCACTCATGCACCATTAGCTAAGCCTTCTTTTTATGTTCACAAATTCAGTTTTGGCCTCTTTGTTTTTTTTTGGTTAGATAAGATGTTATTCAAATAAGAAAAATGGTAAAATCTTTTTCATTTCTCAGCTTAAATACCCCTATTCAAAGGACATATGTTGGCAAACTACAAAAAAAGCACTTTATGAAAAGAGAAAAATAGTGACAATATAAGAAACAAATCTACTAATTTAGTTGGTACCATAATGAACACCATAAAAAAGAACAAAATATAAGGAATCATTTATTCTTCTACTAGAAGCACCATGCAAAGCATCACAACTAAAACAAAGAAAAACCACACCAAATTTTTATTTTTTTGAGTACAATAAAATACAAGGAACCATTTATTCATCAACTAGAAGCACCATGCAAAGTATCACAACTAAAACAAAGAAAAACCACACCAACTTAGTTTTTTTTTTTTTTTGAGTACCACGTATATAATATGTACTTTGAACTTAACTGAACTCTAAACATCTTGAGTACCTGGAAAATTGGTTTGGCCATTGACGAACTTGTTGAGGTTCCAACTAGCAAAGCCTACAACTATGACATACATACTAAAATTTAAGAAAAGCAAAGGAGCAGCTACATTCCTTCCAACTGTTTGAGCCATTTTTTCCCCTTTTCACCACCAAAATTCACAAAACTCAAAACCCTTGCTCCCCCCAAAATTATCCCACAAATCTCCTACCTCCCTCCAAATGAACACCACCTTTCTTTCTTTTTAGATCATGATGGTAAAGAGTGAGAAATTAGAGCATATATAGGGAACTGGGGCTTAGGAAAAAAGACACGTGTGCGGTGTCTTATATAAAGCATGAGGGGGTTGCATCTTCTCTCGCTTACATGTGCCCTTACACGTGTCGTGATGGGCGAAGGGATTTCTAGGGTTTACAACGTGCAATCCGGATAACCAGGAAGCCCGTTTCTTGACATGCATTAGGGTTTGGAAAGTGGAGATGATTTGGCCTTATCTTCAGGGAAATGTTTCAACCAATGGCATGAAACGTGGCATGAGGCCTTGTTTTGGAAATGACCCTTGATGCCTGCTGTAATGATTAAAGTACACTCTTTTTCTTCCAATTGTGAGGTTAATATTATCTTCGAATTGATTAATGTATCTTAATGACCAAGTTGCTTTGAGGTGAATTATGTGACTTCTAGATGCTAACCAGTGAATAGAGAGAGCACATGGATCTGTAACGCCGATGCTAATTTTTTTTGGGAGCTATAAAAAAATTTAGATTCGAGTTTTTTGGCATTTAAATTTTACTATCTAAAAATTGAATGGCTTTTATCAGATCTAAAAACATTATTTTTTAAAAAATAGTTTGATAATAAGTAAAACCTCACTTCATAACTCATCAGGAATTACAATTTAAATATTGAAAACCGTTACATCAATCATTCCGATTTGAGTTTCAAATTTTATTATCTAATTTTAGAACTATTATAGATATTTTTATTGATGAAAGTATTGTTCGAATTAAGACTTAAAGTGAAGCTTTATTTTGTTTTTATAAAATTTAAATTTTATAAAAACTTCATTCTATTTTTTTAAAAGTAAATAAAAAATGCAGCTAGAAATTTTTTATTTAGATTAATCTATAGGTCAACGAAATTACATCGGTTCTTGAAATTAGTTCTAAGTGAAGTTTTATCCAAGAGAGTGATTGTGCATTCTACTCCTGGAAGAATAGAATATCTTTTTGCTAGAGTTTATGAATTGCTTAAAAAACCTTTTTTTAGGTAAACAAATTATAACCCATATATTTTTTAGGGTGCGATTTCTATAAGGTTGCAATCTTAAACAATTCAATCAAGGCACACCTCCAAATTTTATCATAATATGTAATTTTGGAGTAAAAAATTCTTAAGATTATCTAAAAATCCATTTTTCATATCTAATTATAAATTTAAACTCCAAAAATACTTAAAACCAAGTAGACCTATAAACATATGAGAATAGACGGTCTAGATAATGTGTTGCAAGATGCCCTATTTCTAGAGCTCACAATCTTTTTTTTTTCATATTCATTAATCTCAATGACGAGATGATCAATTAAAGGGTTTTTAATATTAAAATAATATTTTTCAATGGGTTTTTGAACTGCATATATAACACTACAATTTAAGGTTGCAACCTTATATAAACTTTTTTTCTACTTTTTATGTTAAAAGAGAGAGCACATAGATTTACAGGTTGTTGTACAAAACCACCTTTTGCTCTTTGGATACTTCCATTGAAAAGTTGGTAGTATGATGAAGCACTTGTAGGATTTCGATGGAGCTTCCTACTAAAATAAATTTTAGTGGATCCCTAGCCTCTTGAATTTAGGTTAGCTGAATGTGCCCTCCATTCATGACATGTTCACCGTTCTAGAGGAAACATGTATGATGTCATTTGAGCGACTATTTTTCTAGAACCTTAATGCTCTCTTGAGTGTTACTCCCCAGTTGACGTTGGAGGGAATCCGGCTTTTGCAAGCCTTGATCCATATGATAAGGCACATTCTTAGTTGTCAAAAGATTTTCTACTTTATGTGGAGTATATTATTTATTTACTCTCTTGGATAAAATACATGTATGGGAACATTTTTAATCTCAAATTTTACGGATGCAATTTCTACAACCTATAGATTAATGTAAGTTGAAAAAAAAAAAAAAAAAGATTATATACTAAAAAAACTAATACGTCAAGAATGAATATGCATGGTCCAATTTTTGAAGGGAAGATCTCAGTGCTATAAAAATCAAAATTTAATTTTTTCTTTTCTTTTGAAAATAATCGTCTGGCATTTATTATATAATTCCCATAGGCTTTTTGAGCGAAGAAGTAGACGCACAATATGCTCCCACAGGAGCACAATACATGTGCTCCTCTTTGTTTTACATAAAAAATATTAGACATTATTTTAAAGAAATATTTTCTTTGCACTCTAGTATTTTAGGAGGTATGTTTTCTCTTATTTGTAAATAGAGAAATTGTGGGTTATTTTTTTTATATTAAATAATACAATAAAGAAAAGTATGCTTAAATATTGGGATGTTATTTTCATTTGTGTTCTAAAAAAAAAAAAAAAATTACACAAAGTATATGTGAAAAGACAAAAAAATGCTTGATGATGTACTTTATACTTCACATGCTGTATTGGTGCAAGAGGCACCATTAGCCCTTGCATAAAGGGCTAGTGCAAGTTAGGTGCCCTCTTTGCTTTTTACTTGCTATGGGCAAACCCACATAACAAGGCATGTATCTGATAATTTGGCTCTGATAACATTTCTTTTAGTAAATTGGCGCATATGACTTAATGTGCCTAGTGACTACGTGTACTGGAATTTGTGCCACTGGTGAAGACGCGTTGTATGACGCATGAGGAACCCAAACAGACTCCATGAAACCATGCAGCAGCTATTGGTTATCCAATTGCATGCCGGTTGGTTCGGATTAAGGATTGAAGAGTTAAAACTCTTCAAACAATCACATTAAGTGGAATTGAATCTCTTTCTTTCTATAAATAGGAATTTGGTTTCTCCGTTTTGTACCAAGTTCTTCCTACGGTTTAGAAGGGCTTTGAAACCTTTCTCTCATTAGAAAAGGGCTGACGTTATGCTTCGGCTCGTAGTATTAGTATATTAATATATTGGAGAGATAGTTTATTTAATCCTATGCTTCTTTGTATCTCAATGATAAATTTGCTTAAACAACATATTAGCAAGGCTAACATCATGTTATGAAACTGAATTATTCGTATATGAAATTAAAGGGATTGGAACTTTCTTTTGATATTCTTCTATTTTACCCCGTCTCACCCACATGTCCAACATTTCTCTCTCATAATGGCTCATTTCCCCCTTGATTTCTCGTTAAGAGTTATCAACTCAAGGGACTCTAGTGATTACTCATTTTCCCCTTGTATTGACTGTAGCAATAACACTCACTTTTTATATTTTTTTCCTTTTTTTTGAATCCCTATTTTTATTTTTTATTTTTTAATATGGTTTGGATCACCCATTTAGACGAATCGAAATTGTTCACACAGATCTATGGGGTGGATCATTCACCCCAAGGATCTGAGTATTGAAAAAGTGATATGCACCTTACTTTTGCGAAAGATGGCGAAGAATATTGGCCAAATAAAGTCTCAACCATTCTAGAGAGCACCAACTGCAAATCAAACAACCCCAAAATCCAAGACCATAACCTCATAGCAAAAAACTGAAGTGGCATATCTTTTATCTCTAGCAGTCAGCCGGGGCAGTTTGCCCAAAGTTGCCAAGTGAAGGAGTGGTTTTTGTGTGAGGTGGGCAACGCTCCAATAGGCTAGGCCACGGTATGATGTCTGCAAACCCCTATTACAATAAGCAACAAGGTGATGTCAAAAGATATTATACTCCTACTGAATTATAATTTAACTCTTTTGAGCAAAACCTCTTTTATTACTTCAAATTTTGGAGATGTAACCTCTTCAACCCATATATTAACCCCAATAATTTTTTTTTCTAGTTGTACCTTCTGTGCACTTGAAAAAAAATAATAACTCGTGATCCAATGAGACCATCCAAATTTTAGATGGTGAGATCTTAGCCTTGCAAAAATTCAAATTTCAATTTGGTTTTTCAAGAATAATCAACTAATTTTTCAATGGTTACTAATATTTCATATCAAAAAAATCCTCCCAAGTAGGTCATTTGACAAGAGGGAGTACGAGTAAACTATGGTCCCGAGGTGCTCTCTAAAGTGATTTATACATTGAGCTGACATAGGAATTACTCCTGTTACTTTCCCAAAGATCAATATCATCCCAATCTCAGTTATTGTAGATTTGAGGCATTTTACTTTGAAGATCAACCAGGCATTAGTTGCCTTAGTTGTATGTCAATATATGTTTATTGACCTATCCTTATTACTACATTCTTGATCATAGCAATAAAAAATGCTCTACTTCCAAAAAAATCTCTAGACACTGCAAACTTGATAGGCGGTCACCAAGTCACTTATCCTTTTCGAAGTTAGTAGACAATCATTTCTCACCAGGATTTGATGATATCTATCTAGACTATATTATTATAAGCTACAGTTAAGAGGTAAAGACCGGTCACAAGAATAAAAATGGACCCTATCTTTAGAGAGAATCTAGAGCACGTGACTTTGAAATAGATAGATTTTAGAATATGGTCCCTTCTTTCTATCCAACCCTCTTTCTACAAAAAAAAAAAGAAAAAAATTGATTTTCTTCCATTGTTCAATGTTGGAAAATTCTTCTTTTCATCATTCAATGTTGGCGAAAATTTTCCATGGGCTTTTGGTTTGACTCGATTTTGATGGCATCCTCATGATGTGGATTTAGAGAGTTTATGTTCTTTTTTTTCTTTGATTGTTTAGTCAAAGGTTACATGGCATATATTGCTAGCCCGACAATTTTAACTGCAATTTCTTGAACAATGGCTTCTTTTTGGAATGCGATTGAAGACTTTGCATTTGGAATCGTGGTAAATTTTATATCATAAGAGTATCATGTCCTTTTATGATTTGTAGTAGTCCTATTTCATGATTTGTAGTAGTCCTATTTCATGCATTGCCAGTTTTGTTCTATTTGTTCTTCACATCTGCAGGGTCTCTACTTGGTATATTGCATGCCTTTTGCTTTTTACTTGATATCAAAATACCTCTCTGTCTCACTCTTGCAGGAATACTTGATATCAAAATACCT